AATGCTTATCCCAAATTCTGTATGAGGAAATCACAAAGAGAGCCTATTTCTACTAGTGCTAATTTTCTGTACATTCTTTTTTATATGACTTGCTGATGTTCATGTCGTATCTCTGTTTGATAACAGATTAAGAATACAATGTGTCACTTTTCATTTCTAGGCTGTAGTAAAAGATAACTTAGGGTACAATATACAAGAATGAGTACAAGTGAAGGAAAATTCGTAATAAGACATAATACAAAATTGCTACAACTGGAATTCTGGCTTAGTAAGTACTAACTACCACATTATTAGTACTATGCCAGAATTCTATAGGCGACGGTTACCACTTTCCATCAGGTGAGCCGTCAGCTCGATTGCCATTTTAAGTTTGATAAAAAAAAATCCATAACATAAAAAAGCTTGTGCCTAGTAAAATGGGATATTATAGTTTCTTAAGGTAAAGCGAGGTACGCATGTAGATATGTCTATATGCAGTAAGCATGTGTATATATATTTGAAGATCATTAAATTAAGTTAGATCAATTTGTATTACTTATACTGAGTTCATTACCTGCATCCTTTCACGTATTTCCATGAATGGTAATGATTGACATGTCATTATCATGGCAAGGAAGTAGTTGGTTGCATTGGTTAAATGTTAATTGACTTTCCATGTGATTTCCGGTCATTAGATGGATCTTGATCTTTTACAGCTGTAGAACTTTATATGAGTTCGGTTCTCGGTTCACTCATTTAGAAACTTTACTCAAATGTTGAATTTTTAGTCTTAACTCTGGCAGAACTGTCTGATCCTGTAGATCAGATCCACGTTCATTACCTCTTGAGAAAAAAGAATCAGAATGATGGCCTGACAGGAATTTACAAAAAGACAAAATCCTAGGACACTTATCACTCGTAGTTTTTAGCAAAATATTTCAAAGTAATAACTAAAATTAGTATTACTTGCTTCAGTTTAAATGGTACGGAGATACTAGCTGTAATACTACTTTTTTATTTTACCTTTGTTTGGTTATAGGTAGGTATATATTTGATGCAAATAAACTAGATTAACATATACTTAAGATGTTTGTATTTAAATCCTTGGAAAGTTACTACAAATTATGCTTTATAAAATAACAGTATACAATTAGCAAGCAGGACTTGTAGAGATCGCAATAGCTATGGTAAACAAACATTTACCCGTGCTCAAAGCTCCGTTTGATGAAAGTGCGTTACAACTAGTTAAGACGCAGTTTCATCAAATGATGAGATTACGTCCTAACTACGAGTAAGTATGGTTGTAATTTTAATGTTTATTTTAACTTAATGAGTCGTTTTACTCAGAATATTTAACAAGCAATGCAAATATTTGAGGAGTTTAGGTCCATGCGATGTTTCTTTGATATATAAATGTTTAGTGGGGCTTCTCAATGTTTTTAAGGTTAATATTTACCTTACAAACTTAAGACGGAATTTACTTTGTATGTCCTTTACTCGTTTACCCGCAGGTCCGCTCCTACTTAGTTTATCTCTACACAATAGCTAATGATAAATATTTTAACGAGTTTGTTTGTTATTAACCATTTATTAGGATAAAGTTCTCTAACTTATATTATTGAAATATTGTGTATTTCTCTTAATAGTGGTTATAAATAATTAAGATTTAGCTCTCCAAAAAAATTTTGACGCAATTATGGTAACAAAAGTATGGAACTAATATGAGAATAAACCCTATTGATTGGAATTATTTAAATCAATTTAGAATTCAGAATTGTATTCTAACATACATACGAAAGATATAGACGAATTGAGAGGTCTCTTCTTTAAATCCTTCTTTTATAGATATTTTATGGATTTATCTGCATGCATAATATGTATGTGGATAAAGTACATTACATATATTTTTTAAATGTATACATTATTTAATTAGTTTTTGACGTAGTTACTGTCGCTAGTTAGGAATCAATTATAATAACTCTCTTTACAATTAATAAGTGATGGTGATGATCTCATAAAAAAATATGATACATTTTTTTATTTGCGGCATCACAATCTTTAATCATTTAAATAACATGTGAGACGGTGGTTGAATTTGACAATTTTCAATGAAATGTGAGCAAGCATTATTTTTCAAGTAATAAAATAGTATCTGATGAAATGGAACTGATTATTTTGTCTAAGAGTGCTCGCAAGCACATTTTTTATGCCAACAACTTTTCCCATGACCTGATAGTGTTAACATTATGAGGAAACTCGATTAAATTAACATTTACTTTCTATTTGCATTTTCTCATGGAATGTTAATATAGCATTAAATAAGGTAAAATAAGGTTTACATATATGGTCTAGCAATGTAAAAAGTTGTTATTTAATACAATAAATAAAAAAAATATGTTAGTGTTTAGCGTTAGTAATTTCCCACGACACAGCGTACGGAGGGATATACGAGGTATGTATTTGTGGGAATCGTTAGTGAAGCGTTGATTTTGCGGGCATGGATTAATATTGAATACAGATTTAGTTGTTTGTTGATTAATATTGTTACTTAGTATTTATATATTTATTTAACTTTTATGAGTACATAATAAAGGTACACATGACGGACATAACACCTATATGTGTTTTGTATCATTGAAATATTGGGCAAACAGAGATGTTTGATGGCAGTACTTTAAAATAAAAAGAAAACTATATAAAAACAATTACTAAAGTACTAAGAAACAAGTATTACTGCAGTAAATTATTAAACATTTTTTTTGTTATTGTATGTATCAGTTTAATAGTAGTAAATACAAAATACTAATTTACAAAATTTTTACTATAGAATTAGTCTTAGAACGCAAAAGAGTTAATGTTTTAAGTTTGTTTGACGTTATTTCGCTAAAATATGCTGTTATCTTTTTTACGATCTCCCTTACAGAGTATCCCTATTGTTTTCGATGAATTACACTACTATTAAACCTAAATTTGTTAATGTTAAAAAGATTGACTGGTAGAGAATGCTACTAATATTAAGTCCGCCTTTTGTATCAAATTTTTGCATTCGGTCAATAAAGTTATTTATTTAAAAAAAATATGTTCTTTTTGCACAATAAACGATATTGCTGCAAATAGTCACTAAAGAATTTGTTTACCAAATATTAAACGACTATTAATTCGTTTAATTTCAACATTAGAAGCTTTTGCAAAATTCATTACGTCTCTAATTTGGGAATCACCGTCGTTTTCACTATGATTCGTAGTCAGTACGCCGAGCACTTAACTTGAAGTGGCCAAGCTCTAATAGATTTATTGCTTGATAATGCCTCGTTTGAAGAGGAAACACTTGTCGCAGCAGGGTACTTACGATGGCGGAAGCATACAAATTAACGCTGATGAATATTCTATCTCTGTCTTTACGAGTACACAAATAAAGTGAAATATTCCAATGAAAAAGGAGAAAAACTTAATTAAACCAGCTAAGGTCGATCTGCGTAGTAACAGCATAATAATTACTCTTATATTTTTTTATGCACGTTTGAAAAAACAAAAATTAAAAAATACCCTGAACAATGACATTACAAAGTAACGGTTACAGATCTTTACAAAGGTCTTTGAATAGTATGTCTTGTAATAATATATTTTCCTATTATGACAGACTTGTGCCACGTATTATGATATTAAAGAAGACAATTATCATACATAACAGGTAGACAGTTTCGTCTATGTTTTTAAATTTGTTTTATGTATGTATGAATATAGGAAAGTTACATTTTCTAGGTACATGGTATCTACAAAAGGGTAGCCTTGTTTATTGTTACTTATAAAAATAAATGTTGTATGTTAAAGATTGTATTACCATTATATCAGCCATACCAGTACTTTGTTTGGGGGTTTTGCCAATAGTTGTCACGCTTGATAAGGAGTATGGCAACTACAGTAGGGCTTTAGTAATGTTGAAAAAGGGACGCTGCTGCCGATTCCTAGACTAATGAGTTTCCTTTGTTACTTCTCCCGACATCCATAGGAAAGGAAGTAATGGCCCATTCTATGCTGGGACCACACTGCGATTAATATAGAGATTGTATAGCGTGAAACAATTTATGCTTTTTTGGATAGATACCATTGATTTCATTAGACGAATACATAAAATTTTTAGACGAGACACAGAACTGGCAAGAATTTGTAATGCTGTAATGGAAAGGGTTGAACGATAAGCAATTGTCATTGCCAATAGTTTTACTATTATTTCATGTTGTGTCTTTCAATTGCTTCAAACACGCACCTTATCAAACAGGCAACGATAACGCTTCTTCGATTAAGCAATTTGAATTGAATTTTCTCGGTCATTGAGCTATCGTGCACATGAACTATAGAATTTATAGTTCTTGGTAGTATAATATTTTAGCACATTCTTTCGCGTATGATTCTGATTATCAGTTGAATCTGTTTAGAATTTTTTTGTATTTATATTGTCCTATGTATTTTTGTCGTGTGATCCTGATCATAGAATGGGCCACTCCTTCCTTTCCCGTGAGTGTCGTAATAGGCAATTAAGGAAACTTAACAGTCGAGAAATGGGCAGCAATGTCTCTCTTAAAACATCATCAGAAGCAGAACTGCGGTTGCTAATCCGCCTGCCAAGCATGGTACGGCAAAATTTCTTCAACGGTAATCTGCCAGAAGGAACGGCCCCGTTCCTTATGACAGTCTTTGGAGGAGGCCTATATTCAGCGGTGAACAGATAACGGTTGATATGATATAATGATGACGATTGGTATTTTGGATGGAGTTATTAGATATTTTATTATATATGTATCCTTAAGATTTCTTTGTGATAGCTGTCTATAAACATTATATTTCTGATGAGGAATAATAGGAAGATATTATAATAGTAATCTTGATAATTGTCAATGCACGACATCATGACATTTAATATTATAAATACAACATCATATCTGTTTTAATGAATAAATAATGTTTAGTGTATATTATATATAGTCAATTTTTATTTTAATGAACATTTTTTTTTGTTACAGGCTAGATCCCCCAGTGACGCAGACGGAATTCCAAATGGAGAACAAAAAGCCAGCACCAGCAACGCAGCAACCCCAAACACAACAACACCTTATGGCCCACCACGTTCACCCAGATCAGATTTATTCCTCTCAACACACACAATTAACTGCGAATCTAACATCAGCGCAAACTGGACAAATTCAACCGAATGGCGTCATGCACCAACTATTACAAAGCCAATACCATTCAAACATGAATGCGCGGTCACCGCTCCTAGAAAACAGACACGAACTATATGGAACGGGGCACAATCAAGACTATGCGAGGCACTATGGGGCGAATGATAATTATAATTACCCCCAGTCACCTCCAAGGCAGGAAAGAACCGATATGCATACTGATCATAATGTCAATCATGAATTACTACACAATATTCCTAAAGGATATAATGCGGAAGTCTATCAGGATTATTTGAAACGGAACCCACCGAAAGATGCCAATCAAATATACCAAAATCATCAGCCTATGTATAAACCTAATGTGAACCAATACGGTTCAAAGCCATATCTACCATATTCAAATAGGATAGGACCACAAAGTAATACTGAGTTATTGCGAAGACAATACAATGAAATTCAACAAATGAAGATGCAACAACAATTACATTACCAAAACCAGGCACAAATGCATCAACAGCAAAAGTTTGCTGAACGACAATTGCTGCTCCAACAAATCCATGGAGTTCATCCTCCGCCTAATTTGCAAAATAGTATATATTCGTCTGACAGTTTTTTTAGAGATTTAGATCGGTATAGTAAAAATGATTTTAAAGACTATAGTAGTCCCGACATACAAAAAGATATTGAAATGTATAGTAAAAGTAATGAAATCGAGAAACAACAAAATAGGCAATATCAGGAATCTCAATGGCAAGCAAACCAGCCAAGTGATTTTAGAGAAAACGAAAAATTTAGAAGACAGTCAGAAGGCGATAAAGGAATGACTCAATCTCCACCTTCTGAGTATAACAATCAACACGAAAGAAGTAACGTGGGTGTGGTATCGCCAATGAAATCTAGTGAATCAAGTACCCCTAGCATTAAGTCCCCTTCATCTGAAAGCCGTAGAAGTAGTAGTGGAAATCAGGCATTAAGATCTCCTATAGCTCAAAGAATCCCTTCAGCTCCTGTAACAATGTCTGGCATTTTATATAAACAAGGTTCTGATGGACTAAAAGTATGGAGAAAGAGGTGGTTCGTGTTGTCAGAGTACTGTTTATTTTATTATAAAAGTAAGCATTTTCTTTTTTATTTTTCGTAAATTTTCGGAGTACTAATATAATATTTTTTTATATATGTTTAATTAATGATCTAATGTTTCATTCTGTATCTGGAATAAAATTAACGCAACCATTGATTTTAAAGTTTCCTTACACGGGTTCCCTTAATTTTTATGTCAATTAATTTATACAATTGAATGTTTGTAGGCCAGGATGAAGAAAAGCTGTTGGGATCGGTGCTTTTACCTTCTTACAAAGTCTCTGCGTGTTCAAGCGACGACAAAGTATTGAGAAAATTTTCATTCAAGTTAGAACATGCTAACATGAGGACGTATGTTTTGGCAGCACCAGATCAAGAGGCTATGTTGAAGTGGGTGAAGGCGCTAACCATGGCTGCATTGATGCAAAATCCAAAGTAAGACAGCCTTTAAATCCAGATCGACGTTTTAGATAATTTGTTAATTCATTATCATCATATAAGCAGCATTTCAAATAATAATCTTATTTTAATATGCACCTATGATGTTTTGAATTTATTTAATGTATTTTCAGTACTAATTTACTGTAATAGAAAACATCTTGACGGATTACTTTTCAGAAATAGTACCAAATTTTTGTTTTTTCACATAAACAATACTATAAATAATGCAGAATTATTAGTAGTGTTGGTGGCATTCCTAGTAAACAGCTGTTTTTATCCTTCAGTCTGAAACATAACAATATACATGGTAATACTGACTTATGGCAGAAATATATATATATATTTATCATTATTAAAATCGCAGTCATTTTAAATTCTTTTTTTTTTGATGCACAACCCTAGCTATAACGGGTTGTATATTTGTGAGTTCATAGTAATTTAAGATTAACTACTATTTTCAGCGAACAACCACAAAAACAGACCGAGAGGGCAGCTGCAAAAATAGAGGTTAGTATTATTGTGCGCACGGATGTGTACGATGCAGGTGATCGGCAATTAGTGTGCCAGAGCGGAACCAAGGACAGCGATTACACTGTCGTTATAACTGCGCATAATGATCGAGATGTCATTGCAAATTGATACTGTCATTAAATATATGAATGCACGTATGTTAATTTCATAGACTCGGATTTTTCTAAGTATAGTTCATTGATGTAATGGTAGGTATCATTAGTATAGTCCGTCAATGACGTAAATGCTTAATATGATTTTTTTGCATTTTTATATGCAACCTAAAATGCCGAAAAAGGCCAATCATGGCTATCTGATGGAAAGTGGTATTCGTCGCCTACAGAAATTAATAGCACCATGAATATTACAGAATATACTATGACACCTTTGGTACACATCTGTCTGAGTACTATGACTATGATATATTAATATTATAATCTTTTTTAGGATGGTGACGAAGTACCTGGACCAACATATGCTAATGCTCCACCAAAACCGAGACGATCCAATGAAGGATATAACTCACCTAGTCCTGATATGTAAGATTATTTTAATTAATTATTTTTACTATTTTCACAATGTAATAGTTATTAGTAAACAAATTGAAACATTTAATGAAATTACAGGTATGATCCCAATTACGATATACTCAAAAAGCCAGCATCACACTATAGTCAGAGCACTAGTCACATTCGTTCTCAGGATCACACAAATTATACAAGTAGTCCAAATCAGGAGAGCACATACACTCGTAGCCCGCAGTCTCCACCATCAGCACAGCAGCAACCTCAGTACCAGATGAAACGACCCTACGACACGCAACACCTTTCTCTACCATTAACAAATACCGTTACTGATAGACTTGAAAACAATCAACCTAGTACATCATCTACATATAGATCTAATCCTCAATCACCTTATTTTAATAATAGGGATAGGAGTCAACAGCAACCGTCAACGGTAAAAGAAAATATTCAGGGACAGTTATATGATACACAGCGGAACATCCAACGCAATCCTTTTCTTCAAGATAACACACCGCAAACAGAAAATCAGGTTAGAGAAATTGATGTACAAAATAAAAACAATCGATCGGTTTCGGAATCTAATAGATTGCAGTCAAATTTTAATGAATCTTATGCGGAAGTTCGTTCTAATTTAAAACAAAATAATGATACCGGTGCTTATAATAGAGACGTTTATGGTGAGCTAAATGTGAGACAAAACAGAGCACCTGGAATAAATGATCGATTACTAAATGAAAGACGCACACCAGATGCCTATGGTCGATCGACATCTATGGCTGCCTATAACAGAGAAAAGGTCGGAGATTATGAAGATGTGTATGGAGTGTATGCTACAGAAAATGAATATGGTAAAACTTATAATAAGTCACCATCAAATACCTCTCAAATAAATGCAATCGGTTCATATACCACAAAACAATCGCAAGAATTTTCCGGAAATGTAAGTATCTAGTTAAATTTATTTTAGTTGTATATACTTTTGTATGTACAGCATATATTATTTTGATCATCATAACAACTCATTAATGTTTACAGACTGTTACAGACGAGTATCTATTATAAAGTAGCTTATTATTGCAATCTTGTCTAGATGTCTGGCTAAAGGGCTATAGTTTCCCCTTATTAACAAATGCCTTTTCCATTTTGATTAAACAAAAACCACATGTACCACGCAAATGATATTTGTTTCTTTCCTGATTGATTGAAATGATTAGCTTTCTTTAAAAAATATTTATTGCTCTGTAATATGAGGCCATTTTATATAATAAACGTTATTGAAAAATATTTAATTCATTGAAAGTTTATAGTTTTTAAATTTATTTCTGAATTTTTTTTTACAAAAAATGTCAGTACTTCACACATTTTATACAAATATAATATATTATGTGACAAATATTATTTATAACATTAATAATTTTCAGTACTTTTTCCTCACTAGAATTAAATATTTTTATTTTTCTAACATGTATTTGTACTTTCTTATACATAGGAGAAGACATTTAGTGGACCATCAGTTTTAAGAAGGAAAAAGATGCAATCTTCTGGGATACAACCACCAATGCCTAGACCGCACAGCGCAGATTTTCTTGAATATGAGTCTAAAAATGAAATGCTTAATAAAACCATGCCAGCACGTACGACATGTGAGCAGATTAAACAGCCTCAAAGACCTAAGTCAAGTCTTGACATAAATTCATATTATGATCCTAGTTCAGATAGATATTACTCCGAAGAAAGTTATGCTGAAAAAATGCGACAGTCAGCTCAATATCTACAACAAGGCTTAGGTTCACGAAATATTCAAATTCCGCTTGCAAAATATGCTAGTGGATTAGCTGAAAAGCAATTAAATTCACCATATTCACAGATTACTAATAATAACTATGAAACTGAATTTGGTGCAAATAAGATAGCTCGAGACAATGTAAGTTATAATTCTAAACATAGCGATCTCGAAGGTTTGAATTCTAACTGGACTTTAAAAGAAAAGGGCATTGAAAATCAAAAAGATTACGTAAACAGAAGTGGGAGTGTAATGAGCGATGGTTCGAATGTTAGTGGATATACCAAAGACATAAGTAAATTTGATGTATCTTCCGAAGGTTTTATTCGATCAGCAAGTGCAAGATTACCATCAACAACCACAGAGAAGGATGGCGATAAAAAAACCCAGCAGGTACCAGAAATATTTTTTTACTAACCGATAACGATAGAGTTATATAACTTTGAGTGTTCTGTAGTTTAGTATAGACAACATATTAGGGGTGCCATGAGTACTGTAATGTCCATTTCTCCATATATTAGATAAGCAGTCAGTTTGTTTTTTTACTAGTCTATAAAAAAACAGATCAAGAAAAGTTCTTATGAAACAAATGATCACGTGATGTTTATTTATTTTTTTCTAAAAATTGTTTACAGCGTGAAGAATCAATGAAACGTTTATTAGAATGGAAACAGAGAATGCTCCAATCTCCTTTAACAAGAAAAAGTACACCAGCCACTATATCTCTTGCTAGATCTTTGAATCAAAGTCGCCAGTCTTTGAGATCAGATCAGTACAAATCTAAAAATTATACAAATGCATCCTATAATAGCTACTCTTCAGATGATGAAGGTATGTAAACGTTCATATAAGTGAATAATATTCCTCGATCATTTCGTTGTCTGTAGATTTTATATTTCATAGCATGTATGAATATGGACAGTACTTCATTTTTAATTATTTTATAAAGTATTAATTTGTAACTAGTACATTACAACCAAAATTAAGCATGTTTTGTAAGAGTTAAAATAAAGATTTCATATCTTTATTGCATGGAGGATAATCATATGTTATATATGCCATAGTTTGGTTTATAATAAAGTTGTAATTAAGTATATTTACTTTATTTTAGGTCTTTGGTTATATAATGTATTAAGTATATTCTTTAATAATATGCCCCTTACAATTTATTATTATTACAAATAATGTAGGTAGTAGTTAAATTATAACTTTATTTTTTCAGATATTATTTATAAAGAATAATATTTAAAGCTTATATTTATAATAATTATTGAATAGGATATTATTAGGAATAAATATTTAACAGTTGTAAAAATATTTAAATTTATTTACTTATAATATTTTATTTTACTTTTACTCATATCCTAGTTCTGTATATTATAGTATATCTATACATCGATCCGTCTTGCAGTAGCAATATAATGACTTCGCTTTGCGGAAAGGTACCTTCCTGCCTGCAGGGACATTATGTCACTAACAAGTTATCATATTAGTCTATATTGGTGGTGGGTTTTGCTAGTTTCATAATTAATTTGCATCGATCTCTAACATTTGGAGCCGACTTATTTACTAACAAAAATAATAGAAACATTATTAAAAAATGTTTCTAATAATTGATGAACTGGCACTAGGAGAAAATAAATATCGGTTTCACTTTTGCACTCAGAGGAAACATCGGGCACTGATCTGCAAAACTCGAGAGATATGCAGGCAGGAAGGTCTCACAGAGTGAATCTAACAAGTTTTAATGATATGAAACCTATAACCCCGCACGCGCCCTGTACTGGTAAAGTAAATAACTCTGATAATAATAAAAAAGTACCAGAAAGCAACGAAAAGACCACAGAAAATACCTATGAAAATATTGTTTCTACTCAGCCTAGTACAAAAGTTGATAATGATAAGGATAATGTCTATACTAATTGTAGTAACAACGAAGAAAATAGAAGTCAGAAAAATGAATCTTTAGAAATAGATCAAAGTGGCTATGAAACTCATGAAAGTGAAGCCGAATCGGAAACACAAATAGAATATACAGATAACGATTTAGATGAAGTTCTGTTAGGAACTGATGTTGATGTTCAATCTTCAAATGATAAAAATCTGGGAAGTACAACAGAAAACGAAAAGGATAACATAAAAAATCAAATTACTAACATTGTGGAATCTGTTACTCCACCTACAATACATTCCGGCGAAGACCACTATTTACCAATGAGTCCACGGAAAACGTCAGCAATAGAACTAGCACATGAAATGATAATTAAAAATTTAAGTGTATTTGATGAATCTATGCCTGTAAGTTATGAGGATAATCCTTATGTAGAAATGAATTTGGGAAATGAAGAAGAAGATATGCAAACATATGAAATTGTTTGCGTGAATAGTGGTAAGGTTGAACCAGTATACATGGAATTAAGTAGTGTAACTTCTAATGAAGGTGAAACAGAAGATTGCAAACAAACTACAAAATCATCCTTTGATACTGTATCAAATTTTGCTGACACTAAGGACCATACACTAAAAAGAGCAGTTAAGTGTGATAAAATATCAAAGAGATCAGATTGTTCTGACACAACTGACGATGAAGGATCTAAAGACATATCATTAGATACACCTTTCAACAGATTGAGTATATCTGATACATTTAGACCAGCTTCTTATTATTTACGTGGTAGTCGAAGTATGCTAGTTCGAAAAGACAGTTCTGATAGTGAGATATTACCTCCACCTCCAATACCAGATACAACACCACCCTGCGAGGATTTGTCAGATGAAGCTCTTTCTAAATATATTTTAGATAAATTAGATAAATCTGATATATCTCAGGATAACTCTATTTTAAAAATGTTAACAAGTGAAAATCAAAAAATGAATAAAAATAAAAACGTTTCTTTGATGATTTATGGAAGTAGGACTTCTATTCATGATACCCTCACAAGAGGTGAGAAGATTCGTAATAGTAGAGCTAGTTTGAATACTGATAGAATGAAAGTAAATGACACGTCTTCTAAATTACTAAGTCATTCAATTCTTGAACATTATAATTCCAGTAGTATTGAGACAGATTCTTTGCAAAGTTATAACGCTGATAGAGGATCTTCAAGACTATCATTAGAATCTGATATAAGTAGCAAATTTGAAATAATACCATCCAATCTGTCATCAGAAGTTGCTAGTTTAAACGAAAGCGAGTCAGCTATTGATTTAAGGCACTCAAGTAGATATCAGGATATAGAAATGATGTTAAAGAGAAGGCCCCTTTCTGACGACTCCATATTTGAATTAGTTGGCTCGAATGAACCTGTTTCAAATAATGAAAGTACAGGTATTGTTGATTTAGATAGATATTTAGAGCATTTACAACACAAACCCTCTGAGAATAGTCTAAGTACTAATGAAAATTCTCAATCAAATATATCTTTATCTCAAAATAATTCTACATATAAAGATAATATTTTGAGAGCTTCTAATTTATCAATAATTACTCACGCGCGAAGTTCAAGTACTCCTGTGGGCCATAGTAGTAAAACAAATACATTTGACAATACAATAAGTACGCAAAGACGAAAAGTTGATGAGTATTTGATATCTTGTTATGCAGGTTCACAAAGCTCTGGAATAACGAAGTCGCCTCTCTCATATTATAGTAAAGATTATGTTGAAGAAGAATTGTTAACTAAAAACCTAAATAATGATGTTTTAGCTGATAAAATTAAAGAGTTTGAAAATCAAAAGTTAGCTCTCAAATCTGAGAATGAGACAAATACTTCATTAATATCTACTGGTTTTCACAGTAGAGATAGCTCCACAGAGCATAGCGCACCTTATTATTATTCTGATCTATCGTCACAGGAGCATATCAATATTTTACCTACATCGCATTATTTAAAGAATACTAACCTTCATCGCAGATTAAATAATCAACGTCGAAGAGGTCCATTACATAAGAAAAATGAAATTTCTCATATACACAATCCAATTCGTAATAATCAGATATTAACATATGAGCGATCATATGATTTAGCTGCTTCTGCTAGAAGTGTTTCTGTAGAATTTTTAAGTGCTGCTGATAAAGATCCTGAGATCGATATGAAAAATATTTACGAATCATCAGATGGTAGGAATTCTAAAATTCCAGAATCTATGAGTTTAATGTCTGTTCTTGGATGTAAACGAAATTCGGGTAATCATAGTAACACAGAAACTTCTTCACCAGATTCTAATGTTGGTAATAGAAATGGATTAAACACTAGTACATCTATTAAAGTATCAACTGCAAGTATGTCATCACATTGCAGTGGAACATCGTCTAACACGGTATATTATGATGCAGAAGCAGAAACTAGTGCTTATGAAAATATTACATGTCAGGGAGAAAAACACTGGGATGAAGATGCTTTATGGAGAGACAATTTGAGAAGAGTATCGCATAGGCATGCGAGGTCAATGGATGATTTAGATACTGTTCCTACAGAAACATCATTATTAGGTCAAATAAGTGGCGATCTTAGTGGGATGAATAGTATAAAACGTGTGAGGAAAAATGTTTTAAATAAAATAAGTCGTAATGTGACTTACGTAAACTGTGATATTCAAAGTCAAGTTTTAAGACGTAGAGATAAAAATCCAAATTTTCATAGTACTTGTTTCGAAGAAGATGAAAAAGTAGACGACAACGATGTTTATGTAAGCCTTGCTGAAAATACTGAAAACACTTTAGAACATTCAGACGAAGGTATATATGAACAACTTTCTATCGAAGCACGATCGCAAAATTCCGGTATTGAAAATGTATGTGATATTCGAAAAAATAAAAAAAGGTTTGAAATAGACAGGGAAAAGCTTCGGCAATGGGATTTAATGTCAAGTGGTCTTATGAAAAGGGCAACAGGTGGAGTACAGGGTGCGGGTGCGGGTATGGGTGTAGGTGATGCTATTTGTAATACGGACACCGGAACTGACAGTGCAAGCAATGAAGGTATCCTCTAACATTCATTTGGTCCTGTAAGGTACACTATGTAAGTTTCATTTATCTTATACTATTCAGCAAAGCAAAGTCATTATTTATATTAGTAATTGTAAATATATTTTGGAATTTTCATTTTGCTAAAACATTATTTACATTTTGGAAGGGTTTAAACACGATAAAGTGTACGTATAGCAAATTGTGGCATGCAAAACTTTAACCGATAACTTTGTACATAGTACAAAATTTTACTAATGAAGGAATTGCACATTTATCATGTTTTTGTTCTTTCGTCGATATTTTATAGTGCGGTGAAAATTTGAAAACATTATTCAAATCTTTCTTCAATGAACGGTTCATTCATCGTGTATATTTATTTTTTACAGCTTCTATGACAATGTCAGGCACGAATATAAACTTAAGCTCAGAAAATAATACAACGAATCAACAACCACTATCAAAGAAAAGTTTTCTCGGTAGTAATACATCAATTGGAAGGAATAACCGAGATGCCAATATACCAGTACGTGCAGTGAGTCCTAGAGTAAGATGGGTAGAAGAAAAAACATCAAATGAACATTTCAGCTCCCAACCGATGTCAACTTCTCAGCAAAATGTATGATTATTATTATTATTAATAATAAATATAGTAAGAAAATATATTCAAATTATTTTATAACATTGATATTATTTTTTAGTTGCATACGCTGACATCTACAGAGGATATATGGGCGACAGCTCGATCGCCATCACGAACCTCACAACAACCTATTCGAGCTGTTAGCCCAAGGGTCCGAAGGAACACTGAAGCAGATGCTTTGGTAAGAAAAAGCTTCAATTCTAAATTTTACGCAGTATGATTTAGTGGTAGCTAGTGTTTATTATTTGTAGTTCTATTTTTGTTTTTAATATTTGCTTTATGATTTGTGTTTTGCATTTTTTGTTATTGCCATTAGCAAAGGGAAGTTCAAAGATCAGGCCATGGTGAATTATTGAGTGATGTACCTACTGCTGGAGAGCTTCTAGGTCGAACTCATGAGGAACTTGTATTGCTCCTCATACAGTTAAGACGACGGCATGCAGCTACTCACCGTGCTATTGAGAATTGCTGTTCACAAATAAATAGTATAGAGGTGCTTAATCCTATTTATTTTTGTTTGTTTAGTTAATTGGTTGTTATTAGTCCGTTTTCATTTTTGTTTATTTTTTATTTTAAAAATCATCAATGCTGTTATTATATTATTATACGCTAATAAAATTAAAACTTAAGTAATTACATTCAAATATCAAAATGAGGTCATAATGCTATATTTAAAAGAATGTTGTAGCTTGAAGTGAACAAAATATAAATAAATCATTTATTCATTCTTCACAAGAATATTTACTTATATTTTTAATACTAAATACTTAATTTAATATTTGTAGGACTGTCTCAGTTCCTTAAAATCACTAGAACGAGAAGAAAGTTTACAACGATTGGAGCAACTAAAGATGCAACTGATGGAATTAGAACATCAGTATGAGAAAAGCAAACCGTTGGTCCAATTAGTTGATAATATGGTAAAATTGGGTTCTTTATACAACCGACCAGGGTCCACAGTGGAACGTTTGGAAAGAAATCAGAGATTGAGGCAGAAAGTACTCGCTGAACACGCGTTAGAACAACAAAGGTGAGAAATTATTGAAATAAACAATTAATATATCAAACAATAAGTAATAATCGTCGATTAAATAGTTAGTCGTGAATTCAATAGTTTATAGGAATTACGAGTTAAATATATTTTTTAATACAACTTAGAATGGCAAACAAGCTGACGGCCCACCTGATGGAAAGTGGTAACCGTCGCCTATAGACGTGAGCGGTACCATGGACATAACAGAGTATACTGTTTCGCCCATGATATTCCCCATGCGTTGCCATTCCTGAGGACTCAAGTGTTATTCCTCAGTACCCTGTAAATTCACGCCATATCCCACCCTTCAAACGGAAACACAGCCATACAAACACAACTGCTTCACGGTTGAAACACGAATGGAACAGAGGTGCCTAAGCAAACGACAATAATTTATCATTTCATTTGTTATAGAATATAGTTAAACGTCAAAATATATATATATATATATATATATATATATATATATATATATATATATATATATATATATATATATATATATATATATATATATTAGTTAAAAAATACTCTATGGCATTTGATGTTTTTGTTCAATTTATAATAAAAAAAAAGTAGTTATCATAAAACAAGGCATGACTGGAGTCGAATATTTACCATGAACATAAAATTATAAATATTCAGTTTTTTTTTATTTGTAACACAAAAACGTTTTAGTATTTTAGGTTGTAATTGAATATATAATTTGGTTTAATGTTCTCAATATTCTATACTATAATGTTTTAAATTAGATATATTTTATCAAAGGTGGCTTGAAAGTGCAGCAGCAGGAAAGCCTTTAGAAACCGAAGCGGCTAGAGCTAGAGTAGCGGAATTGTGGGCGTTGGAGCAAGAGTTGGCAGACGAGGCTGCCATATTACAGGGACTCAGGACTGACAAGGACGCTATTGAGTCACTACTTACTGGTTAGTTACTTATTTAAATTTATTGATAAAATATTAGTTAATAGTTCAAACTAAAGGATTTCATACACATATTAGTTACCAGTGACTTTGTTTACGTGATCAGCACCTATTGATTGACTGGGATAAAACGTAGCATACAAGATAAAATGTAACGTATGTCTTTTGCCATCTACAGTACTGTGTTTTCTAAAGTTCACGATAATTGGTTGGGCTATTTAGGCAATAAATAACTACATAAAAATCTAAGTTATTATTTTTATGTATGAACTAATTTAAGTTCTGTAGCGTTTTCGAAGTTAGGTACTACAAATAATAGTTAAATATTTATTTATAATATTATGAATATCAATAATTTCAACAAAATTGCAAATTCAATTGCAATTAGAACAAAATGAGTGTGATTAAGTCGCAGTCTTTTGGTTTCATAACGATAATTAAACGATTTATCATAAATAAATTTCAGGAGTACGCGGTAAACTCGACAGTGTTCCTCGCAGTGAATTGTTATCTCGTAACGGGATGGGTATGGGTGCAGGGGTTGCAGGTGGTATTGTTGGTCCGGGAGGACAAAGGATCCCGCAGAACTTCCCAAGCGGCTCGGCGCTCGAAGCGGAGCTAGCGCGGGTGCACGCCATGCTGGCGCACAATTCTAAGGTTTATAAGGTTTTCGTCTATACATGCACTTATATTTTTTATTTGTCTGTTAATTTGACTTTTCTTAGCACAATCTTAACGCTGTTGGGCTTTAATACACTATTAAATGTATAGAAATATATCGAGAATTTGTTAATTCATGTAGCCTTTGGTAATGCATTGATATGATAGTGTATATTTGATATTGTAATAGGCCCAGAACTATACTATACCGTAGCATTTTGTTATACAACATGTAGATACTGCTTTGATTAAATAGATTTAATTGATAATTATTGTAACGTTTTAGAATTTTAAAGAATGTGTCACTTACGTGATTAGAAAGTGAGGGGGTTATTTTAAAACAAAACAATAACATTTCTGGAAACAATGTACAGACAAAGTACAGATAATATTGGATTCTGTTGCAACTTATTGGTGATGGAATAATTATTTTAAAATTGTCAAATATCATCATTTGGGATCTGAATTCAAAGGAAGTGAAGGGCCTGTACTTCTTTTAATGTAATGTTTTCTTTTAATGTATGTAAACATATTTGTCTGATACAATATTTATTTTTTAAAAACTAATATAATTTTATATGTGCGTGTAACAGAAACTAGAACAAACGGTAGCAGACAACGCCCGGTTGGAACGCGAGCTCCAGCAGCTACGGCGGGCGCTGCAGGCTCGTCGCGCTGCCGCTCCCGCTCATCCCACTGCTGTGCTCGAAGATGGTTATTATTTATTTAAATTTTAATACATAATCATATTAATATTACCATTTATAATATATTTTTTTTCTCAATATCCTCTACTCAAAGGTTGTCTGGAATAGATTGCTTAGCGATAAGGCCGCCTTTTGTACGGCTTCTCATTAAAATTAACTGTATTGACTATTGTATTAATGGTGCAATAAAGTGTAAAATAAATATAATAAACGTGAAAGTTTGTAACGATGAAAGGATGTTTGTTAATCTTTCAAGTGAAAACTATTGAACGGATTTGAATGAAATTTGCTTCACGAATAGGTTTTATTCTAACTTAGTGCACAGGATACTTTATGTATTGATGGAACCGCGGTATACAGTTAGTATAAATATATATGTAAGTGGATAGATGTACGTACCTAGAGAGATGTAGGCTATGTAATGAATACAAGTATATAAGGATTGTGATATACGAAAGTCTTCAAGGCCTGGTTAGTTTTTCTGTCATTGACACATGATTGTGACATTACCTTTTTAACTTTCAATGTCTATTATAGTACTAATGTATCTTCATTTTTAGTTGAATTAAATTATTATTTCAAAAGAACTTTGGTGTGAAAATTGATACATAATATATATGTATCCAATACCACTTAATACCGGATGAAGTTCTTTACCAATATAGTATTCAAAAATTATAGGGTTAATAATTATTTATGACACTAGCAACTGGCACCTTCTTCGTTTTTTTAAATGTCCATGTTATCCACTGATAATGTAGCTTTTATAGGTATAAGCATTTTTAAAATCGGTTAAGTATTTTATGAGTTTATTCACTACAAGAAAAATCAAATTATTCAAAGAAAGCCGAAATACAATAAATCTCAATTTATTATTAATTGCAAGATTACAATAGATAGATATATTTGAATTACTTCCAGCGTTACAAATAAAAATAGACATATATACACACAAAAGAGACAAAAGGTAAAATATCATATCTCTTTGTTCAAATAGACTAGATACATAGCAAGAGTGATAGTAACTGCCGTTAATATCCTCCTTGTATGAGAAGAAACCAATGCCCAGAAATAAGATTTAATTGGCATTAATGGATGGACGTATCTGTTCGCAGAGGTGTCGCGCGTGCAGCAGCTGGTATCAGCATTACAGCGGCAGCGACAGGAGCTGAGCCGCGCAGTACGGCATCTGACGCAGCAGTCGCAAGCGCTGCAGACCACCCATCACTCTATACCTGGTGAGCGCTAAAACCAGTATTACATTCCTAAAACCATTATAAATTACAAACGCTACCATAATGCAATCAAAATAAATCTTTTTTTTTTATCTTGGTTTAGTGAGCATGGATTTTTTTTTATTACCATTATCATATTTTTATCATTTGAAAATTGTTAGGCCTTACTTTAGTTTTATTTCGCAAAGTTTTAGAATCATACAATTTTAGAGTTACGTCACAATGAGGCCAAGAATTAGTTTTAGTCCTATTTCGACCGCTTTATACAGATCTCATTGTATTATTTTTTTTATAAATATCAATTGCTCTATAAACTACTTATAGCAGCTGTAATTAAAGAGATTAAGGAGATGTAAAAAAATTACTTTAACTTTGTTATATGACAGCTTTCATTTAAAAAAATCTTAAAAATTTCATTACAACTATGAAATTATTTCATAATATACATATTCGAAAAATGTTGATTTGGGAACCTTTTTATTGAAAAAATGTTAGCTAAAACACGAATTTTATTTTGGATGAATCTTTAATTTATCTATATTAATTTTACAAAGAGGATAGATTAGATTGTTTGTAATAGTAAAACTCAAAACTTCTCTACAGATTTGAATATTTTATCTATACAAAATTACGTTACCAGCGAGTAACGTAGGCCGTATGTTTTTGAAAATTTTATCTACCCGGCCCAGCTTGCTAGTATACAATAATTTGATATTTTAGGCAAACGCCGTCCAATTTCATCCTGGCAAGAAACCAACTTAGACACAGGACACACAATCGACCACGGCCAGTCAGATTATGACTACGACATATCGAGAGACCTGTTACCACCAGGGCACTATGAACCTTCTAATATGGATACGCCATTATATGTCGATACTCGAACTTCAGCACCCGATATCGCATCACCGTTAACTAGTGAGGAAATGCAACACAGTGGGTTTGGTAAGTATTTTATTTATTTCATTTAGAAGCATATTTTTTTTTATTATTAACTTGATACACTTGATATTCACTGAATATACTTACCCACCCAATAGTCAGCGTAGTGAACTAACTCAGTATTAAATAAATAAATAAATTTTATTAGTTTTTGTTTATAAAAATGAAACAATTTTATAATATGTCCTATGTAATATATGTACAACAAAGACTTTACAATACAATATTCTACTGAAGTAATAACTTAGTATTTCAGTATTTCAAAAATTTTCTATAAGACTTTGAATGGTAAACAAGTTAACGGCCAAACAAAGGTAACTGCAATCGTTGCCTTTTGTCGTGAACAGCATGAATTAAACCATGAATATGATAAATTAAATAATCGCCATCACATAAGCCGTTAACTAATGACTGTTATATATAGACCTTCTTCATAAGGGGAATTTAAATAATCATTAATTGAATATTTGTTTTGTTGTAGGAAACCTTTCAAACGTTGAGAAACAAGAAATAAAAACAGTCCGGATAGTAAAGAGGGAAAGCGAAAGACGTCAGAGAGACAGAGAGCGATCACTTCAACCGATGTCCGATTGGCCATCTAATAACATTTCAGCAAACCTAGACCAGTTCATAGAAGAAGAACTAGTCCAGTCATTGAATTATTCAAGAGCATCATCCGTGCCTCGGACAGATTTTAGCAAATTCGAAGAGTACTATTCAAAACCGCAATCTGAACAACAAAATTATATTCGTTTGAATGAGAAAAATATGGAGTTAAGTCCAAAATATCCATCAAGTCCGTCATTGTCGAACTATGATTATTCTAGAGACATATCATCTCTTAGTAGCAGTTACCATAAAAGTTACGATAAGTCTGGATATGATCGCACTATGTCCCTTTCAACTCAGTATCTAAATAGTCCTACAGATAGTTCTAGAACGTTGACTAACGATCCAATATCGAAAACGAGTAGTATAGTTAGTTTGACCAGGTCCCATATGGAGCTGTCTCCAATTTTCAAAAGTGAGGCAGCGAAGCAGATTATAACGGAGATGTCAGGGGAGCCCAAAAATGGGTCATTGCATAGGAGGCAAGTTCCGAAGGAGAAAAGAAGGCACAATACAGCGCCACACCATTTAAGTGCAAAAACTTTGAACGAAATGCCTAAGGATGGATATAATCAAGATGTAAGTACATTACTATATTATTATTGACTATAAGAATGAGAGATTAACAGAGTATTTCTTATCATTTTGTTAATTGATATATGTGAGAGTGATGATTGGATGAAGCAAGAGTTACTTATATCTATAGTAAACCTAAGAGAATTGTTGCTTGGTTATTATGAATGTAAAGCAAGAGGATTGTCTAAGTTTAGGTATAGAAGTATAACTAGAATATTTTTTTCTTTTAATGTAGTTATTATTCGAAAGACTATGTTTCTAAGTGTAGCTTCTTAATGATCATAACAATCTATAAAGCCTTCTGGTCATGGGTCTCTTCTTCTGAAATTTTTTTCTTGAGTTCTTATTCACTTGCAATAGTGTGTTGTTCTGAATTATGATGGTTTTTAGTATCACGCAGAAATCGACTAGATAGAATAAATAATTTACATTATAGATAGAGTCCTCATAGAAATGCTTCAAGAAAAACGGATCAATTTTTTTATACAATTTTGATAAACAGTTATGAATGATACTTTTATACCTTCTATATTTATTTTGTCTTATAATTTCTGCATTTTTTTAATGCGTAAACATTCATTTTATTTATTATATAATGCGTCAAGATACATTTTATACGCAAGTATATAGAATACTGATAAAAAACGAGTCAGTTAATCTGACAATTAGCTGACAAATATTTGACCCGTTTTTGAGGCTCGATGCTCTATCTATATAATCTAAGATTATTATATATGACGGCCACCGTTCGATCCACCGACCTACCGTCCCTTGACGGGGGCCGAAGTGTGGCGGCCCGAGCCGAGGTTTGAGCCACTAGGGCCCTCGGGCGCACGCTGCAGTCCATTAGAAAGAGGTTACACCTCTGTCGCTCCCTTTGGAGTGCCATCTGCACTCGCCCCTGCTTACACGCGTTCGGTAAAGGCCACCTGCGTCCAACAACAATTACAATTAGAAAAAAGAATATATATATATGACGGCCAGAAGCTGGGCCGGTCGCTGGACGACACGGACATGGAGCGCGCGCTGCGCGGCGTGGGCGGCGTGCGCGGCGTGCGCGGCGTGCGCGCGGCGCCGGCGCCGGACGTGGTGCGCTCGGCGCTGCCGCCGCCCGCGCACCGCCTCGCCGACAACGCCATCGACCAGCTGCTCGCCGCGCCGCAGAAAATACTCATACCGGAACGGTATATACCTGAAAAGGTGAATAACCTCGTCTCGTATTCATAACATTCTAATCGTAACAAATTTGCGACAATACCATAGTAAACTGTTATATTGAAAATGTGTTAAGTAATATAAATAATAAAACTGCTTACACTCCACTGCTTAATACGAAACTAAATTTCTTTACATTCAATAGACAAACCAGCAAACCGAACCTTGACATGTCTCTTAACAAATATTTTTCGGTAAAAAAAGAATAGTTAATTTTAATATAACTAGTTTATATAATATATGACTATCAAGGGACGATTTCCTTGCGATTGAAAAAAAACAAATTTTCTAAATCGGTTCACAGTTAATAACGAATCATATATATGTAACAAATATATAAAAATATAAGCAAATTGAGAATATCTTCAATTTTAAAGTTATATCATATCTGTAATATACAGTTAATTAGTTTACTGGGTATTGAAATTAAAATCATTTAGTCAATATTTTTAAATTGATACTGATTGTTTAAATCGAAAGTGTTTATTTAGGTGCATAATATTGGCCTCGTTTTAATTTCATCAAGTTTCTTTTTACTGGTACAAAAAGAATAAATCTTTAATTTACATGTTATTAGCATATTGAACAGAATAATACATTTATATTTATTTATATTCCATAGCCACCTGAGCTTTCACCTGAGGAACAACAGAAACGACAAGAAAAAGTTGAATCAATAAAAAAGATGCTCACCAGTTCTTCTGCAGATACTAACAAGGTTAATATAATAACTTGTTTATTTAAAATTTTGCATATTATGATAAACTGTCTCTAAAACTTTCTTAAAATCTATTTTAAGTTGTTTTTTCGAAAATCTATGATCTAAGATTTAGGTTGCTTCATCCATTAATCTTCTATTAAAAATATCATTGTCATATTACATACATTGAAAATTATATTGAAGTCAGCAAGATCACTCATTGAAAGATCAATCTTAATTCACTTTGCACTCTGCATATGCTCGCCCCGCTTTCGTTGTTATTCTGAATGACCTTACTATTATTTTTGCATGACTTTTTCAATATTTCTATTTAAAAATATATATATCTAAAAATAAGACAGATCTGTATGTAGTGTTTGCAGACATAATAAAACTAATCAATTTCTAAAACATGATCAAATTTAATATGAGGATTTGTTATTTGAAAGTGCTAAGTGTGAATGAATTTGTAAAAAAAGAAATCAAATATGAAAATGTAAATTATATTTAAAATAAAGAATGAACTTTTGGAATGAAAGATGATGCGAACGTTGGTTTTTAAAGTAACGTATTGTCTATACTGGAATAAAAATAATAAAATAGAAATATGAATGTAGCAATCAATATTGCCAATCAATCAATTTCATTTATAAAACAATATTCTTTGAAATTTGAAACGTATATTTGTAAAATTCCTATTATAAATATCAACATACATTTCATTATGTCTGCAAATATAGCTTAAATAAGCAGCTTAGAATGTTGGCTGTAAATATGTAAACAGCACTGTCCTATATATGTGTGCTTGTTATGATGACGTTAGAGCCCGGACACTGAAGAGAAGCGGCAGCGGGAACATTTACTCCAGATGAACCAGATTCTTGCCAAGCAGGTCACCGAGATGAGCAAAATAATAGCTGGTGAGAACCCACATTCGTTGACTGGTCACGATGTTTTCACGTTTTGTGTCATATTTTATACATTAATGTGGTTGCCACTAAAACCAGTGTTCGAAACTATTCCGATGATACTATAAATCGATAAAAATTTAAAAAGTCTAATTTATACTAGAAGTAGGATATTGTTTTCAATTAATATATTATAAAGTAAAAATATTTTTACGAGATCAGTTCATCAATTCTCTTTAGGAAATTATAGTTGTGTCTATTGTAATGCCTTATTATATATATAGCTAAAAAAGGCTGGATATATCTGTACAGTTATTATTTTATATACAAAAACATTTACAGTTTAGATCTTATTGATATAGTTTTCTCTAAATTGTTTGCCAAGAACTGAGTTACAAACGACTGTTATCGTAAGTCGATTGATGTTTGCCCACGCCATCTACTTGGGATTACAGTCATGAGTATATTTTTTATTTAATTATATTTTCTATTTAGTAATCATTTTATAAAAAAACAAAAGTAGATATTCGAATTTATTAACGAAATTTGAGTGTATTTCAAAAGTATGCTTATTTCCTAAACTCAAAATTATTATTATTATCTTGTTACTAGCTTTTACCCGCGATTTTGTTGCCTATAATATTCTTAGCCTATAATCTTTTTCCTGCCATATATTATCTGCATACCAAATTTCATAATAATTGGTTAAGCTGTTAAGACGCTAGCAGGTAAAAAACAAACTGGCTTTCACGTTAGTAAGGATAACACTATAATATTAGTAAGGATATAATGCTTCGGATCAATTTATTGTATCATCTGAATCGTTATTAATTCCACGTTTGACTATTTTAGATTAATATTAAGTAGTTATAGAGTCAGTGTTGTGATGCACTTTGTCATGTTGGATTTTATTTTTTGTTAGATGTGGTTGGTTTTCAGTAATGCTAAGAATTTATTTAATTACAGCAATGTCATAAATTATCTCACACATATCTCCTTTTTGTAAGACCTAATTAATTCTGATATTGGTAGTCATAATGTAAATTAAAAGTCAATTACATTAATAAAAAAATGACATTATAATGTCATTAATATAATTGTGTATTTAAAACGAATAGTTCATTCATTTAAGATATTATTAGAATTTGTTTCCTAATATATTCATTCACACACCGATCTTTACTTTTAGGTACTTTTTTTAAAGTAAAATTTTCATTCCATTTATCCATTTTGTTCAATGCTTTAGTTTAAAATCTATCGGGTTCAACATGTTTGATTAGAGATTTAAATTAAATGTACGATTTTTTAAGCACAATTTAGCATTTCTAACAACAAACACGTGACTAACTAAATGCTGAGTGTGACGCATGTAACATTATTGCTTGATGTCGTTTGTACTATTTAACAGGAACCAACACTGATCAAGGGCCATCCAGCGCAAACAACTGATTTCATATACCAAATTATATCCCACATAAACCCTGTTGAAAGCACCATATCACGCTCGATCACCTTTTAACCTATTGACATCCTTAGAAACATTTATAATTACACTTTTCCCTACCTTGAAGTAGTTACTACCTTATCCAGTGGCCCTTAGAAGATATGCTGTCAAGTATGTCGCGGCATGGTTTCGTTTTATTGCATTTTGTTGTGAGTAGTTTTTGTTTTTTTTTTTTATTTCTAAACGAGAGGAGATTCATCATTTTTTGAGGTTTTTTTTTATTGATATTATTATAAAAACATTTATACTCTTTCACAAATTGACAATCCTGACTATTAATACCTTTGTTTTGTACTCGTGAGTTTTATGCAAGAATGCTGTAAATTTAAATTAGAGGTAATTGCAAAATCTATAAAATGTAATATTAGATTGCCTTAATATGATGAAACTCCTGATAAATAACACGTTATTTTATTTTTGCTACAAATCAACAATGTTAAATCGAAAAATGACTACTTAGAATTAGGTGATAGTATTTAATGAACTTTCTCCAAGAAGTATATTTAAAACTAGCGACCTGCCTCGTTTTCGCACGGTTATCGTGGGGTTCAGCCAGCGTTTGCAATGTAAGCGCAAAAAAATGTGTTTATTTACGACATCACATTAGAAACCTCTAAATTGATTAGTGTTTCTCTACAATATTATGCATGTATTATACATATAAACCTTCCTCTTGAATCACTCTATCTATTAAATTATCTATAAAAACTGCATCAAATTTCGTTGCATAGTTTTAAAGATTTAAGCATACATAGAGACGGACAGACAGCGACAGCGACTTTGTTTTATACTATGTAGTGATGATAATGATCATATAAAAATATACTTCTCCAATCCAATAAGCATAAGAAGTTATGAAAAATAAGTAAATTTCGATCCGACTATGCCCCTTGGAAAAAATTTTCATTGAATATTATCATTTTTCTTGGGTCACCTTTTCCTGTTAACTCTATAAAAGTGTTATATATTTTCTACTTAAATAGTTTTGTAAGACGATTTTCTATTTTTATTAGTGAAAGCGTTGGAAGAGCTGCCACTACACGACAAAAACGACGACTTGGATGATCGTTCGCCTGACGTCGAGCTGCCTATATATCAGCAGAGGGACAACTTCTTTACATAGAATATTTGTGCACGCTTAATGTATTTCAAAATTAACCTGGTTTAGACCTATAGACCTTCTTTGGAGGTATTACGAGGTTAAAAATTAGGCCATGATTACTATTAGAATTGATATCACGTGTGAGACATAGTATAATATCAACCTACTTATCAACTCGTGGCTTAATGATCTAGTTATATTATAATAATTATGGTACTTATCAAACTATTGCGAACTGTAATGAAAAATCGTTAATCTAAATTAAGAAAACAATGTAATCAAATTCTGTGGGCTTTAATAAATTTTAAGCTATTAAAGTAGAATGTTCAATTATTAGTATAGCATGTATTCAAGTGTATTAAACTTTTTAAATTATAATCTTTTATAAAAAATAAATGGATAGGAGATCAGTGCTCGGATTATGGTACGTGCCATGATAATAATTACAATCTGAACAAACCAAATCTATGACTGAAATCAGGTGCTCACAATGATCGCCACTCTAATGATATTGGTTAAACTAAACCTTATACCATTGGTTTAAGGATTAGTTTGATCAAGTGTAATATGATTTTTAATTCTTGCAAGACCACTATTCGGAGACTTTTCGAGAAGGTTCCGAATTGGTGTGTCCGATTAACTTATTCTGAAAACAGAATAAATTTAAGCCAATGATTTTAGTTGAGCATTTTCAGTCTGTATCATCTTTTTTGAAAATGTAAACAGTGATGTTAATAAAAAACCAGGTGGCGTTATAAATACAATTGTTTATATAATATTAACGTGATTGTACACGTTGTATTTAAACAAAGGTTTGGTTACTGGGTTCATTGCAAATGTTAATGTAGAACAATTAGACCTAGTTATGATTATTGATAGGGACGTCTTAAAAATGGACGAACTCGATATGATGATAGGGGTTTTTCTAGAACAGTTGACTACTACTGAAACCAGATGAGACTTAATGCTTAGGGTAGGTAATTATCGCCAGTAAATATTACATTAGGCTTTTTAATTTCCGTGTGAGAGTGACTAATTGACTATATAATTAATTATACGAACTGCATCCAAATATCTGCTGTGTTGATAGTACAAAAACTATCTATGTAATTTTATATTAGTTCATTTTGTAACTTATTGCAAGATATTAAAACTTGCTTCCAATTGAAAAGAATATTGCTAAACTTTTATTAGCAAACTTTTGTTCGATTTTATTTGTTTCGTTGTTATGTTAATCTTTTGTGAGGGATTTTTCATTATTTATGAGAATATCAGTAAAATCTATTGTTTTCAGTATTTGTGGTTATTATTATTTATCACTGCACTACAATATAAATAAGTAAATGTAATTGTCATAGGAGTAGCATTTCAGAATTAAAGTGACTTTCCACTTGGAAAATAAGACGATTTGCTTTGCACATATCCATTGTAATATCATTATATATTTAGTGATATACAGCTATTGCTTCGACTGCAACTGACAGAAATGGATCATTTATTTTAATATTTGCTCAATTTTGACAACATTCCTTCATTAGTTGCTTTACATTTCATAGAAGTATATTGTAAAGTGTATCACTTAGAGATTGTTCAATACATAAAGTTGTTTTAGACCTCTTTTATACGTAATAGGTAATTATATAATTTCTTTTCCGTACTACTTAAAGTCTTCTATGTAAAAGGCCTTGAATTGTTATTGTAGAGTTAAGATAACATATAGCGAATTGTAATTAGAAAATTATTTAAGACGATGCCATGTTATACAATTATTATAAACTAATCCATTATTAGCAAAAGCACATTATTATAGGAAAATATTAGGTAAAAACATATATAAGTTAAAGGAAACGAAAACAAATGCGTTTTAGTATTATTTCGTTTATATTGTTTTATGTATAATATCTTGCTGTATATAATATTGTTTTATGATTTGAATAAATTTTCTTTTTTATTAATTGTTGCATGCGTTTATTTCTTATTTTTTCTTCATAAATTTGGAGTTCCTTATTTTATTTATGTTCTAACACATTAGATATATCAACTATAAGAAACTGATGGGGACTATATACTCTATATCACGTAATTGTATTAAATTATTTAAAAAGATTAGAATATTATTGAATTCCCTTATTGCTAGTGGTAATTATTGTACTAAAATATTTGCTAATAACTCCAAACAGTCATTTGCTATATATATAACACATAACGAGAAGATGACCTTAACAACACATTACATTAAAAATAACTACTTATAAAGACATGAAAGGAAGTAATTATAATCAATAGCAAAATCGAGTATAGCCGAAAGTGTTTAAGAAGTGCTGCCACATTCATGTGTGTGTATGTGTTTGTATATGTGTGTGATTGATACACATATCGCTTTAAATTTAATGATTATTTCTAGTGGCCCTAATTAACACTTAATTCATAATATCTCTTTTGCTATATTTTCACATTGTTTACATAAAAATTACTCATTAGATATCTTCTATACCATGTGATATATTTATACCTATTACTTGTAATTGTTTTCGAAAACTATATCAATTAATAATCTATATAAGAAAATGCTACGACTCCTTAAATTATATCCTTATAAAGAGCTTTAAATATCAATAATAATTCCTTTAATATATACATTAGATCTTGATAGATACATTTATCATTTTTCATTGAATATAATAATATATAAATACAAATTAAAACAATTTGGCAGATAAAACTTGCACTGAATGCAATTACTTCATTTCTTTTTTTGTCAATTAATTGAAATAGACGTTACATATTGGATCTGTTTTGTACTCAAAATAGTGCATATTCAATTGAAATCTAATTGATCCGATAGTGATACTTAAATTTTAGTGAGTACTGTAATCGTTGTGAATTTTGATTAAATTAATCCTTAGGGCATTGATGTATAGTTTCGTTAAATCGGATTTTACACTGTTTGATGAATACCGATTATTACGTAAAATAATAGAATTCTACTTTACCAGAGTTTTTCCTAAATTTCTAGATCGAGATTGCTTTCCAGAATTGTCTGATGCCCACCCTAGTTAAAGAATGTCTGAGAATAATTATGCGCTTTTTTAAAGGGCTATGCCTTCCTTGGAAAATAATTTTAAATACGTCAATGCTGCTTTCAAATTAGGTGATAAAATAAAAAATACAACTACTGAATATAACGTAATATTTCACAGTCAAATTTAGTTAAAAATTTGCAATAAATTGTCAATTATTATCAATATAGTCCCATTGCATGGCATGGGTCCACCCATAAGCACGTGAAGTGTTTCTCTCTTCTTGTAACCATAGCTGCTATACTGGTGTATTATGGTTTATTCTTGCAGTTGCTTTAAAGTTGTTCTGGATACAAAATAAAATAATATAAATGCTTATATTTTAGGGATGAAAGACAGTAGTAGCTCCTTTACTACACAAAGATGATAAAATTCAAATAAGATTTCATTTAAATGAAAAAGTAATAAGCCTGTCTTTGTGTATTTATACAAGTATATTTCAACCGTGAAGCAGTTGTGTTTGCATCCATGTATGTCCATGGTACTGCTCATGTCTATAGACGACGGTTACCACTTTACATTAGATGGGCCGTCAGCTTATTTGCCATTCTAAGTAGTATAAAAAAAAAATTAATGTAAAGTGAAATCAATGTAATCTTTATTCACTATATTGATTTTATTTTAGATTTAGGAAATTTAATTTCCATTTTTTTTGCGATTAATGTTTATTCAATTCTATCAGAGATTTTTCATGTTCATGATATACAAAATATTTGTTTGTCATGAAAATGTTAAATCTGTTCAAAACATCGTTGAAACCATGGTAAGAAGCAAGCGAAGTCCTCGTCCACACTCTGAATATGGAGGTTTTAGGAGGTTAAATTACTATCTTATGAATTCTCTTGTACCTACAAATTATTAGACTGACCACTACGAACTTATTTGTTTAGTCGCATTATGAATAAATCTTATGAGATCAATACGTGATTGAGTCATACTTACAGTGGAATAGGAAGTAAGAATATAAAAAGAAAGAGTAACAGAGTAGATTGAAACAAAACAGAATGATTGACCTTAAGAAAAAATATTTGAAATATGAAAACAATTTTCTATTCTTTCCAACAAAATCTATATGATATATATAATGTTAAATATTGTATGAAAATATATTCATATTATTCGAGATATCCTCCTTGGGGAAAGTTGTTTAGCAATTCGTCGATAATAATTACTGTATTTCGTTTTGTTATACCTGTTTTATTATATATTGTATATATGATATATTTATGGTTTAAATATATATACAGGATGATTAAGTACTATCATAGATAAGAAAGTTAAGAAGCTGTTAACTTTTTCCCAACGTTTGCAATTACACTACTTTTTTACATCGATTAAATTCCCCACTATAGGTAAGTTGTATAGTCTTATTAAGTACTTAATAATAGTCCAAAAATAAAACATAGCGAGAATATTACTTACCAGTTTAATATCTTATGATTTCGGAAGAAAATGATAAATAAATGGTTTTATATTTTTATTGAACATCTTCAGCTCAATGTATTTACACAGCATTAAATATAGAAGTGAAAACGATGCTCAAATGTTACATTTCATGGAAATAATAGCTGATTTTAAAAATTTATATCTGTGATAGTAAATAACTCTCCTGCTGACATGCAAGTATATTCACTGATCAAGTACATATTATATATGTAGCTTCACAATTGCACCGTGCACATTTCATATAATAATGGCGCAGTTCATAGCTATCACTACTACATAAAAGGATTTCTCTCTATATATATTAGTACTCCTTAAAATTGTATATCCTCTTTACAAACGTGTATGTATGTAGTACTATGTATATACCTATTTTCAATTTGTTATCATAGCTTAGCTTATACCTTCGCTCAGAAACCAATCAGAAGACTAAACCTTAACCTGACTTGTGTATATATACTCACCTACAGGGAATTGTGCAATTTTGGTTAATGGTATTCTATCCTTATACATTAAACCTTGTTGTAATACGATCCTTATATTGTTCACATATGAAAATAAACGAAATATGCTAATTTTAATTGGTTTTATTTGGTAATATTATCATCATGACCATTAAAAGTAATGTTTTTAATGAAAAATATTTATTCGATAGATACTCCAAGAATCGACAAATAAAACTGGAGTATCAAAATATTCAATGGTTTAGATTTATGTCCATCATTATCATCATCATATCAGCTCTTAACTGTTGAACATAAGCCGGGAAACTTTGGGGGGGTTTTGTTAATAGTTGCCACGCGTAGATTTATGTTGATATTATATAAAAATATATTCTTGATACAGTACTAAAAACTTGAAACTATACTAAAATAACACATTATTAAAAAATACATAGAAAATGTTTTGTAAACTATAAATGAAAAAAGTGAATTAAATTAGATTCAAATGTGAAAAATTGCGTCCATGTGGCAATGTTTCCAAGTTGCCAACGGCATTACCTCAAAGTTAAGCTGATTTGGAAGGAGAGCCACAGTTTTTGGATCACAAGACGACTATATTTGTAAAATCTTAAACGAAGAGTGAGTAACTTTACTCTTCATTTAAGATTTTACATCATTAGTTTAGTTTATTTATCAAATATTAAAAAGAGTAGTTAAAATTTATTAATGGATCTTTTTGATGTGGAGCATAATTCATTTAATGAATCAAATTGAAACATTAAATAATTTAATCGATTTTTGATAGATACTATCATTGGTACTGTTTGTTTGCCTTAATTAATTATGTTTTGACATAGATTAATATGCTCGTAGGTATTATGCCGTGACCGTTGTAAGTTTAAATGAAATACTAGTAAAACTAAAAAAATAAATTGCTATCAGACTAAGTTCTATAACAGAACAGTGGATGACAAATTTAATAAAAAAAGAAAGAAATAGATTATATATTTTAAAAGGATATTTGTTGAAAAAATAACATTCATTTTAAATTCTAACAACGTTATTTACTTCTTCACTTGTTTATTTACCAAGTTAAATAAACAAGTAGATAATAATGCTGCCTTTATTACTACATATTTATAGGCTATTCAGCAGAGAAGACAAATTTAGCGACTGACAATGATTGGTTACAAGCCATCCTGCACCCCTTTGTTATTGTAATTTCAAACCGTTAATCTTTTAACTTTACTAAAACATTTTATTGCCCGAACTATTTTTTCCCCAAACTAAAGTCATCCGATGTTATCTGTTCGGGGTTGTGTTTGTGTTACTGAGAAATATTATTTCAAGTCGTGCAATGGTAAATAATAGATAAAGACACAATTGGAAGCAAGAATTAAACTCGGAAGCGTCTCGTTATCTCGCGGCGCACGTCCATTAACCCAATTAATGATGGAAATGACATAATTTCTTCATAACCTACCTTCAATATCGGTTTTCCGATTTCTGTTATACCAATGATTTGTTTCCATTGTTAATAGTATTATTACAACTACTAAACTAGTACTTAAGTGGCATTAATTTAATTCTATTGTGAGTCTATTTCATGACTATTATTAAGATGTATAGCAATCACGCTGTTCCGGGTGAGTGTAGCGCTTTCTGGTGTTAAGAGGTTTCTGGCCACCTTCAAGCTATCTCAGATGTAACTTACCATAGTTTGTCTCTGACTGCCTCTACAGCTCTATGGGTCTACAATGTTGAATATTAAAATTAGAAGTTCACGGAGGTAAAATTAAACAAAGTAATAATAATGTAATAGCTAGCGAGATGAACTTCCGCAAAATAAATATATAACATACATATACGAATGAAAAAAAATGGCTCGATTACGGCTTTATTAAAATGATGGAAGATTAACACGCGACCATATTTTTACGTGAACTATAATATATCGCGTATTTATTACGTATTGAGGAGTTTGATTTATGTT